CTTTCCCCCCCCCCCCCCGGGCCACCATGGTGGTAGCGCAGAGTGTGTCCCCCACAGCTGCCTTACAATGGTGGTACAACTGGCACAGGATTCCTGGGGAGAGAGCAGCAGGGAGCTCCGAGCCTGCAGCAGGCAGCCCACATACTCCCCTGTCCCCCAGGGGCTCTGCTTAGCTCTGCTCTGGCTGTGCCACCTGGGGGTGGGGAGAAGGCAGGCATGTGTTCCTCTTTTCCAGTTTGAAAAGGTGGTCACTAATCTATAGAGTGAATCATAACTGCTACAAAGTAAGCAACAATTTGTAAAAAGTTCCTAGAATACTCTGATAGCCAAATTATTACTGCTTGCATGCTTCTTTCTTCATCTTCCCATATTTCCTTTTCTTTTTTTATCTCTCTATGCCCCCTACTGATTGTAACACACCTGTAAGTTATTTGGGTTGATAGATGAAGGGAGGGGTGTGAGTGACCGGGGGGGAGAAAGAAGGAGTGAAAAAGAGGTAGGGGTATACGGGTTAGGGGGAAAAAAAGAATGAAACAGAAAAAGAGAAAGAGGGGGGAAATTAAGAGCACTAGGGCTGTGCGAAACTTTGGGAGCTGATTCAATTCAGAGGAGATTCGGCCTGATTTGGTGACAAAATCTCCAAATCCAAATTAAATGAGGATACCAATAAAAAGGTCCAAATCAATTCAAAGATTTCCAAATTGATTTGGAAAAGATTCAGAAAGCTTTGGAAATTTCAGGCAGTCCCCACTCACTGCCACACCCCGCCTGGCCTGGCAGGAGGCGATAAGTTCGGGGCTTTTCTTTTTTTCTTTTTAAAGAGCTGGGGACATGCGGGGCAGCCACTCTGAGGCTGGGAGAGCGGGCGGGGAATGGGGCCTGTCTGATTCAGGGATTCGGCCAATTCGGCACCGGCTGAATCTCCAAATCAGATTCAGCTGAATCGATTTGGGACACTGAGTCAAATCACTGAATCGAATCACTGTCCCCCAAATTGACCCAATCCAACGTGAATCCTAACCACTTCGCACAGGCCTAAAGAGCAACCCTTGAAAGGCAAAAGATAAAAAAAGATAACTCCCCACAACAGACAAGCAAAAAGGAAAGAGAGGGAAACAGTAAGAGAGAAGCTGTGAAGTAAATAAATGCAACTCGCAGACAGAGAAATCAAGAGTAGTAGGGGGAGGGGACAGAGAACAGAGAAAAAGAAGAAAAAACACTACAAACGTACAAGAAAAAAATCAGAAAGGAAGGTAGACAAAAGCAAGAGACCTTTAGACAGGTGGGAGTCAGAAAAGAAAAGAGATAAGAAGCCAAGGAGTCTTACACTCAGGATTACCCCACGCAGCTCCAAGCTAACCTGGTCTGAGGCATCCAAGCCTCAGCAGAAGGAAGGAAGGAAGCTTGCTTTACATTACTTCCTGTGTGTAGAACCCATGAAAACCAAGGGTGTTTTATGTGTGGTATGTTTATGGTATGCTGTGCATACACAAAAATAAAGTACTTGTATCTGGTTTTGTAAGAGCAATACCCCAAGTTCCTCTGAAGTGCAGTTGTATGCAAACTCTAGTAATCATGCTGTTTAGCTTGAGCCCCAAACTTACAGGTTCTTTAGCTAGGAGGACTGATTCTACATCACACCACTGACACCAGAAGGAGTCAGCATGACTCTTCCTCTTGCACCAACTCCAACAGAAGTCAGTATGAGAGAAAGAGTTAAACTACATGCAAGAAAGATTGAAGTCTTGGCTTTCTCTCTGTCCTATGATTCCCATTCTCTGTGTTAAATGATTCCAGAAACTTAGCTCATATCTTTAAATATTAGCATGGCTGTTCTGTCAGTGTGGAACTGCATCTTATCATGTGAATAAATGATTAATTTAAAATTTGCCACTATATGAAGCTAGTACCATACTTACAACTATATGAATCAGCACTGGGCCAAACCCTTAGGTTATTGTTATCAGTTCAAGTATTTATTGACCTTTATTGCCTCTCACGTTACTTAAAAAGAGCCACCAAGAGGAAAGCCTTTACAGAGGACTTAAAAGTTTGCTTTGGACCTGCTTATCCCTTTTCTTTACTTCTTTATGTCTATTTTTTAAAATGCAGCAGCACCAACTTTCAGAAAAATTTTATTATGGGTACTCAAAGAGTTTGACAGCAAACTCAACTGTAGGTATTTCAACCTGTTCTGCAAATGCTACCATTTGCAATGGCACATCTTGTGTGCTACCTAAGAATGATGTTAACAAGGTTTTGAATGTAATTTTAAGTACCGTCATAACAGTCATGTTGGCATTGGTGATGTTCGCCATGGGCTGCAATGTGGAGATAAAAAAATTTTGGGGGCACATAAAAAGACCATGGGGTATTTTTGTGGGCTTCCTCTGTCAGTTTGGAATTATGCCTCTCACAGGCTTTGTGCTGTCTGTCGCCTTCAATGTGAAACCTATTCAAGCTGTTGTAGTGCTCATCATGGGATGCTGTCCAGGTGGAACTTCTTCCAACATCCTAGCATACTGGGTAGATGGTGACATGGATCTAAGGTAAGAGCCTCTGCTCTGTAAAGAGACAATTTTTTTTTGTTCAGTATAGTAAATTTTGTTTCAGGGACTATACATATCTGTTCAGTTCAAAGAACATTAAGGCCTGGAAGCCTGGTTGAGGCTTTTAGTAATTATTATGAACTTTATAAGCAAAAGTCAGTGAATATAGCATAAGGCAATAACCAGTTTTTAATCTAATGCCCTATTAAAGAAATCACTAATGGAAAAAATATTTATCCACCTTCATGTTCTACAAAATGGGTAGGCTTGGAAAGTTTACTCTTTTATAGCTAACAAGAACCAAAATTATTTGTGATAATTCTGTCTGCTTCTGTCACTATGCAAAATTTTGAAACTGAAGGAATGCTTTATGGGATACAAGCCACAAGCTGGTGCAGTCCTGTCTACTGGGTGCAATGAAAAAAGCTCCTTTGTGGATGTGATGATCTCAGTGGCAGGTCACTTGGCTGCAACTTCAAGACTCTGTGAAGTCAGAAATTGTGATATGTCAGGCAGCTGGCATGTTCACAGACATCAAACACAGGGTAGAATTGAACCCTGCTCTTGATGGAAATCCCAAGACGCATTTTTTAATTCTTTAGCTCTAACAGCCTTTACAAATGAGCAATATTTTTTTAAATAATTCTGATTACTTTCTTCTAAAACAAACAGCATAGTCTCTCCACTTCCCACAGAGTTTCATAAATTACAACATTCATCCAATTTATCATATGCCAGTCTGAACTAGCAATGGAAAAACTAAAAGAAGTAGGAGAGATGTGAAACTATGGTGAACAAGCTAAGAATTTTAATATTTGCAGCTTTAATAAGATATTTTTTCCACGTTATGAAAACAATGAATTTCTCTGTAACATACAGGTGTTAATGCAAGATGTGCTTTTTTAGTACAGTACATAATCAACTCTGCTAATCATCAGCTTCCTCACTGTGGAGAAAAGACCTATAATATAAATTGCGAAGTACTTTATTTCAATAAAGTACAGCTCTGACAAAACCACAAATGGAAGGCAGTTCAGCAATAAAGCTGAAATTCTGTCACGGTCTTGACCCATTTCACCTAGGAAGAACAGTGCCCATAGAACCAAATCTCTCTGTCACACCAGTATAAATTTAAAGTAATTCCACTGAACTCAGTGGTATAAATCTGGACTGACAGTGAAATAAATGAAAGCAGAATCTAGCCCTAAGTTTTTAAGAAACTTCTTGAAGGAAGACATATTAAAACAGCTGTAAAGAAAGGAATTATTCTAATCTCTTGTTATAGTTACTGTTATTGTTATTGTTGTGATATAAAATCCACAAGCAAAAGTAAGGAGTCAGGTGATGGTCCCCGTATCAAGAAATTCAGATACAGTATTTAAGGTAAACAAAACAGAAGCAGATTTACTCTCCTAAGAAATTCACAAAGAACCAGCTCAAATGCTGTATGTTCCTCCAGTGAAGAACCAGATGCTGTAATGCCTTCATCCATGAGTAACCCTACAAATAACAAACTGATCTTTTTGAGATGGTGGGAGAATATACAGCCTGCTTGTGCTAACTCCCCATTTTATGAAGCTTATGTGCTTTGTCTCTCTTACCAGTTGACTACACCAACACTGTAGGTATCTTAAGCTACCCCACTACTGCAGCTGGGAACTATGAATGCAGCTCACATGAACACAGCCAATCTAAGCTATCTTAAATCTAACTAGCTCAAACATCAATAATAGTGCCATGGTAGCATGGCTTCAGCACTGGCTGTACAATCTCAGACCTACCCCACAGCTTTAAGGCAGATAACACTACACCACTACTGCTTTCATCATGGTTGCTAGATTGATTGTGTGTATCTACACATGCTACAAGCACACCCTGGAGTTCACTGAAAACCCTTCCGGTGTGCCTGCATTACGGTCTGAGTGAGGTCATCAATGCCTATGAAGAAATAAAGCCACCCTGTGTCTTCAGTCTTGCAAATCTCAGTTGAGATCTCTGCGCTGTGGTACACCTGATAGCAAATGAACAGGGAAGTTTTCTGACAGTAAGAGCTACTGCAAAATCTTGCTGGTGTCATCCAGTCCCAGCAGTCTTTCCTGCCCAAGTGCAGGGGGAGTGGACCAGATGATCTGTAAGGTCCCTTCCACCCCCGCAAAAACTATGAAACTATGAAATTTGAGGCTTAGTGTTATCCCAAGAGTGTGTTCTGGCTCTATGCTCAGGGTCTCAGGACTATGCCAAGCTGTTTGCACTGCAAATTTGAGAATGTGGATACATGTGCAATGGGTGTGAGTGGACTGGAGCTTATATCTTTGTCAGAGTGCCAGACTTGCTCATAACCAGAGATCTGATAAAAAAAAATCCCCAATTTTTTAATTAAAAAAGTAACCCAAAAGCCACATTTCTCCATGATTAAAATGAAACACTGATAGATAGATAGATAGATAGATAGATAGATAGATAGATAGATAGATAGATAGAGTTTCACTTTAATCACAGAAAAATGTGGCTTTGGAGTTACTTTTTTTAATCTGAAAATTGGGGGGGGCGGGAAGGGGGGGGACGTTAATCAGAGAAAAGCAGAATTCCTGCTCATAACATGATAGGGACAAACACTTCAGGTCTCTAGAAGTCCTGAGAGAGGCCACTGGGAAGACATGCAAAACAGCCTCAACATCACATTGGGATTGGTGCATGCAAGCAGTAACAGTTAGGCAAGACAAGACCCATGGGAAATTCAGTGTGAACCATTTACAGTACACGTAACAGAATAAAGATGAAGTTTCTGCTTTCACTTGGACTTTTTCTTTTTTCAGGAAAAGCAGAGCTCTGAGATTTCTTCAACTCAGTTTTGTGTATATATGCAATAAACTGATTGTAGCCAGTAACATTTCTTGTGCAATGTTTCATAAGCTAGTAAACTGCAATAAGAAAATGAGAGGACCCATTGGAAAGAATGAGATGCACTGTAACCCTGTAACTCATTTCTTTGCAGCATCAGCATGACAACATGTTCCACCTTACTGGCAATGGGGATGATGCCACTTTGTCTCTTTGTGTATACCAAAATGTGGACAGACTCTGGCTCAATTGTACTCCCCTATGATAGTATAGGTGAGTCAAGCAAATCACTCTTTTCCTTTTACCCATCTTCCATATTCTTCCTTTCTTGATATCAACCATTTTTTGTAACATCACCATACAGTGTCAGACTGATAGAGACCCATACATTAAAGGTATTTTTAAAGGTAAATTTATGGGATCTAGGTGCTTATATGCCTTTAACAATCTAGCTGAAACGGACCCAATAACTTCTCATCTTGCAAGATGGAGCCCTAAAGCTATTAGAAAACTGGTACAAATACTTACCACAGGGTTGTGCAAATCAGTATACATGAATGATGTCATAACCTTTTTGGAAATGTGGTGAAAATATAAAATCATTTAGGTTTAGAGGTTTGCCCTGACCTGAACTAAATCTGGATTTGGGGGGGGGGGGGGGGGG